GTGGAAAAAGGTGTGCCTCAATGAGATAGAAAAATGAAGCTGCAATGATGAAAACAAGAGAAAGAGAGAAACTTTACCTATATTTCTTCCTTCAAGGCCAATGTAATAAGTGGTGTTTCTTTCTTTTTTTAAAATTTTCACCCAACGATACTTTTCCATTTATCTTCAGATGGAGTGGGAGAGAGGGGTTGGGGGAGAGAGAGAGAGAGAGCGTGAATGGGAAAGAGAGAGAAACATTGCTGTGGGAGAGACACATCGACCAATTGCTTCCCGCAAGATCCCGACCAGGGCTGGGGATGAACAGCAACCGAGATATGTGTCCTTAACCAGAATTGAACCCATGACTCATTGGTCCGAGGGTGGACACTAACTGCTGAGCCAAACCAGCCAGGGCTTAAGTGACATTTCATTTAATGTCTCTTCTCATTCTTATAATTATTTATGGGCTTTCTGGACTTACTAGAAAATGGTTATTTATCATTTTAGCTAATGTTACAGTAGTAATCTGTAGTTTATTGGAGATGGAAAAGAATTATTTAGCTCAAGGAGCTTCAGATTCTATAAGTGAGTTCATGCTTACTTATCTTAAATAATCTCACAAGACTGTTTTAGGAGCCATGAGGAAAAGATTGCTACTCTCTTAACCCATTTGTGGAAAATTTAAATTGGCTTTACCTGATAATTCTTTGAAAAATATTTCTTCACCATGGCTGGTTTGGCTCAGCCTATGGACCAAAGAGTCATGGATTGGATTCTGGTCAAGGGCAAGTACCTTGGTTGCAGGTCAGTCCCGGCCCTGGTCAGCGACGCGCAAGAGGTGGCCAGTCGATGTGTCTTTTTCACATCAATGTCTCTCTCTCTTTCCTTCACACTTTATCTGAAGATAAATAAAAAAATATTCTTGGGTGATTATTGAAAAAAAATTGCCTGTTTCAATAAAGAACATATAATGAAATTAGTGAGGTGACATTGGAAACATAATTTGGGAAGAGATCACTAAGGCATTCATTTCAAATGTTAATCTTTAAAATTCTTTGTTGCTTCAAATAAAACAGGTATAACTTATTTTGGAGGACCTGATTTTAAATGTTAAAATTCATAAGGAAGACAGATCAAGAGATATAGTTACCCAAGATATTGATCTTTTAAAATTTGTTTCATAAATGTATATTTAACACCTCAGTTGGGTAAGGCACTCTTCTAGCACTGGAAATCTAGGGATGAACAGGACAAAAATTAGGGTTCTTATTCCTACAGAGGTTATATTCTACTGAAGGGTTCAGGCAATAAACAATAAAAAATTAGTAAATAAATAAATTTAATCATTTCCATTAGTAGTGTTATAAGGGTTCAGACAAATAATAAAGATTAGTAAATAAATATGCACTATCATTTCTATTAGTGGTCAGTGTTATGATAAAAAACAAAACAAAACAACAGCAGCAGCAACAATACCTGATGACAGGAGAAAGAGTGATGATGAAGGTAGGCTGCTTTAGATAGGGTGTACAGAGACAGTTTTGTGTGGAAGTTACATTTAAATAAAAATCTGAATACTCAAAAGGAGCTAGTGAGGAGATGATCTTGTGAAAGAGCATTTCAGGCAAAGAAATGCGAGAACTGTTGTTACTGAGTTGGGATTGAATGGAGTGAGTTTAAGGATAAAAAAAAGAACAGTGTGGCTGAAGTGTAGTGAACCAGGCTGAGTGAAGATGGTGGTAAAAGATGGATTTTATTCTTTGTGTAAGGGGAAGCCATTAGAGATATTTAAGTGGGAGTCTGCTTTGTGATTTTTATTTTAAAAAATCATTCTGATTTATGGTTTGGAGATGCACTATGAGGAGTGGACAGTGGTGCAAGCAGGAAATTGATCAGAAGGCTGTTGTAGCATATTAGAAGAGAATTGATGACAGCTCCTGCAAGAGTGGTGACCATGAAGAAGGTGAGAAGTGGTCAGGCCCAGGCTGTATTTAGGAAGTAGTGTCAAAAAGACTTGGATTAGACAGTGGAGACAGGTAGTGAGGGGGAAAAAGTAAATCAAGGATGATTCCTAAGTTTTGGCTTGAATATCTGGTTGATCAAATGGTCCCATAAACTGAGATAAGGAAGTCTAGGGGTAAAACATAATTTGGTTTTAGGATATGTTAAATTGTAAATGCCTGTTAGTCATGAGATGAGGTGAGTCGAATGTTAGGTTACGTTCACTATTTTATTGTACTTCATAGCCTTTGACAATAGAATACAGGGAATCTATATCATTTGGAATAGTGAAGAACAAATTCTCTCCCTTAGTAGATTTGGTCAGTATAGTGGACTTAAGGGAATATTTGATATGTGAGTTCACATTTGCAGTGTTGCCCTTTAAGTGTTTTTATCTCACTCCGAAAAACCCAAACTAATCTGAGAGAAAGTCCCTAACACTAATGAGAGTTATTCAAGGGGGAAGTTAATAATATGGCTCATTGGTACCTTTAGATGCAATAGATCAACTAATAAAAATTGGACTGGATGAAGAACGTCATCCCTAGATATTATCATGCTGTTTAACAATCCCTGTATTGGAATTTTTAACCTGGTATTGCAGATACCAGGTTCACAACTGAACTAATTAAACATTGTGAATACTTAAAAATAACATTGCCTGTCTTTATGGTATATACACACCCACTTATTTATTTATTTTGTTAATCCTCACCTGAGGATATTTTTCCACTGATTTTTTTTTGGGGGGGGAGAAGGGAGGGAGGGAGAGAGAGAGTGAGAGTGAGAGAAACATTGCTGTGAGAGAGACATATTGATTGGTTGCCTTCTGCATGACCCTGAATGAGGCTGGGGATCAAATCTGCAACCCAGGTACTTGTCCTTGATTGGCGTTGAACCTGTGACCACAGGCTGATGATCTTAACTGCTGAGTCAAACAACCAGGGCTATAATCACTTTTGATGGACCAATGTTTAAAAATGGGGGAAAGATATTGAATTAGGAGAAGATAAAAAAATTTAAAAAGTAGTGGGAAAGCCTAACTAGTGTTGCTCAGTGGTTGAGCATCGACTTATGCCCCAAGAGGTCACCAGTTCAATTCCTGGTCAGGACACATGCCCAGGTTTTGGGCCAAACCCCCAGTGGGGGGCATACAGGAGGCAGCCAATCGATGCTCTCTCTCATTGATGTTTCTTTTTTTTTTCTTTTAATTAATTAATTTATTTTTGTTACAGATGTTTCTTTTTTCCCTTCACTGATTCCCCCCTACCCCTCCCTTCCCACCCTGTCCCCAGCTTTGTTGTCCATGTCCATTGTTCATGCATATAACTTTTGTGGTTTATCTCTCCCCCACCACCCCCACTTCCGGGGATTGTCAGTCTGTACCCCACTTCCACGTCTCTGGGACTACCCCATTCCTCAGACTGTTATGTTCATTATATTCCACAAATAAGTGAGATCATATGATACTTGTCTTTCTCTGTTTGGCTTGTTTCACTTAGGATGATACTTTCCAGGTCCCTCCATGTCATCTCAAAGGATAAGAGATCTTTCTTTCTTATAGCTGCATAGTACTCCATTGTGTATATGTACCACAGCTTTTTTATCCATTCGTCTACTGATCTCTCATCGATGTTTCTATCTCTCTCTTCCTCTACCTTCCTCTCTCTAAAATCAATAAAAAGAAAAAAAATGGAAAAGATAGTGGGAAAAATGTAAATCATGGAAGGGACAGGTAAACAGGAGAAATCTTGATCTTGAGGAATTAGCTGAGAATTAATAGCGACTAAATAAATACCATCTTAATTCTCATCGCAATTGAGAAACATCTGTAACAAAAATACATTAATAAAAATTGGAGAAAAAAAGAAAAAAATTTTCATCACAATCTATTGCGGTAGATATTATCATCTGCTTTTATAGATGAAGCAGTTAGGCTTAGCGAGGTTCATTTTAGAGAAGGTGACTGTGCTATGCAGAATTCTAAGATGGCCCCCAAGACTCTCCTGATATACATGTCTTGCATAATACACTTTGAGTTGGGGCAGAACCACTATATGCATGATGGGATATCATTCCTGTGATTATATTATATAGTGAAGATGAAGAAATTTGAAGATGTAATTAAGGTTTATAATCAGTTAACTTTGAATTAATTGAGATCATTCCAAGTAGGCCTAACCTAATTATGTGAGCCCTTAAAAGATGGGAGATGTCAGAAAGATTCTCTTGCTGGCTTGGGAGAGATAAACTGCCATGTTTTGAGAGGGCCATACGACTAGGACCTGATGGGGAATTCCTAGTAACCAAGATCAACCCTTGGCAGATAGTAAGAAAATGGAGTTATGACTGTAAAAAGACTTAATTCTACCAATAGTCAGCAAGCTCACAGAAGGACTCCAGCCTCAGCCAATAACTTTATTTCAGTCCTGTGAGACTCTGAGTAGAGAAATCACTTGTGCTTTGCTGGAATTCTGACTTTTAGAAACTGTGACATTATAAATGGGGTTGTAAGCTGCCAAGATTTTGGTAGCCTTTTGCAAAGTGATAAAAAACAACTAATATCACAGTAATAAAGAAAAAGTAGTTAAATATAAAGGTTGGTAATTTTAACCCTTTTATTTTAGACTTCTTGAAGATATAATTAAGTTTCTTCAATGAGATTAAGTAATAGACCTGGCTTTTTATGAGTTCCAACTCAGAATCTAGGAGAACAGTACAATTTTCTTGTGTTATCTTTCTATTGCCTTTCTTCACAGAGCCCTCTCATAGTTTTCACTACTATAACTCTTCTTTCTCCTATTTTTTTTTTGTGATGAAAAGAACAGAAAATGAAGCAAAAGGAGGAATAACCATGATCATTGCCTTTCACTTTAATTTCTCTATTTTTCAACAATCTTATTAGAAAAATTTTTGAGTTATATAATAGAGAAAAAGGAGTAGGAGACATAATATATGAGGAAATGAAGAAAATGAAAAAGAAAGGGAGTTTTAATCCAAATATATTTTAAACTTGACAGGTTCACAAAATGCTCCATTTCCCTGCTATGAAGAAATACACTCTCAACTTGATAGGTTTGGGAACTGTGGTATGGCTAGAGGCTCATATAAATACTGTACATGGAGGTATGTTATACAAATATTAAAGATGCTTTTATGTTCTACAAGATTCTATCTTTAGTTTTTCTTTTTTTAAAATTGATTTTTGAGAGAGAAAGGAAGGGGTGGGGAGAGAGAGAGACATTGATGTGAGAGAGAAGCATCAATTCATTGCCTCCCATATGTGGCCCGACTGGGGACTAAACCCACCACCTGGGTATGTGCCATGACCGGGAATCAAACCCACAACCTTTTGTTGTATAGAATGATGCTCCAACAAACTGAGCCACATTGGCCAGGGCTAGTCTTTCTTCATATGTTCCAAGTACTACATGTGTATGGGAGTGAATCTCAAATCAAAATCTCTAGCCCTGACATCTTGTGCTATAGGATTAAATTCACATCTAATTTTTAAACATATGTAGATGGCTATTCGGCTCCTAAATCCAATACATGACTGAAACTACTAATGTTTTGTGTACCTTTCCTTTCTGAACGTGATCATTTCCTTGACAAAAATACTGTCCCCATTCACTTGATTGCTTGCCCAAGCTGAAGACTGCCTAGTGTTTTTAAAATGAAGTTCACTTTTTCCTGCATCTGAAGAGCTACCTCTTTGATATATTGGTCATGAATATATTTTAACAAGCATTTATTAAGAACCTACTATGTGCTGGACAGTGGGCTAGATACTAGTTAGCAAATCATACATGGCCCTTGTACTCATAAAATTTGTACACAGCTAAACATACCACATAGTTTATACTTCGTGGTTTGTTTATGCTGTTACCTTTGTTTAAAAATGACTTACTCTGTTGAAATCTTACTAATTTGTAAACTTTGACTCAGATGGCATGTTCTCTATGAAGTTTTCCTTGTCTGCTAATTAGAATGTGTCCTCATCTTAAATTTCTGTAAGAATTTATTTCATTTGTAGAACGTTTACCCCCTCAATTATCCTTTATTTAAATAGAATTTATTGGGGTGACATTGGTTCACAAAACCATACAGGTTTCAAGTGTACATCTCAACAAACCATCATATTTAGTATGAGACTGTAAGGTTCTTGAGGGAGAACCTTAAGGGTATGGGTCATAATTGTTTATCATTTTAGCATATAAAATGCTTGCATGAATTGATTATTTGACAATAAGTGTATAAATCTGCACAGTGAATAAAAGGCCATTAATAGTATTGAAAGGTAATCTTGTATCATAGGCTTTATACTTTTTTATTTCAAATGTTAAAGTATTACATTTTCCCTAGATATATTGCAATAAATGATGAACCATTTATTTTTATTTTTTTCAGAAAGCAAATCTGAAACATTTCCAATAAATGCCTAATATATAGTAATCATATAATTTTATTATCTTTGCAGGAATCTTAGATGTGGAAGATTAGTTTGTACTTACCCTTCTCAGACTCCTTTCAAAAAAAATAATGTTTCTGTGCTTTATTTGTATGTACGAAATGTTAGATGTATAACTTTAGACTATACTTTTCATGGCTCAGCTACAGATCCATTGCAAATCCGTGATGGCTCTGATTGTGATACTGACAGGGTAAGTGATCTAAAATGTATTTAAAAAATTATTTATTTATTTATTTAATGTATATTTTCATTTCAGTATTACATGTAGCTTCATTTGTAGTGCTATGTAACCCTAAACATTTAGAAAAAAAGTAAATGAATAAGCTTCAATTGGACCCCAGGTAGTAAGAGGAAAATGGAACTGTTTGATTCATTTTAGACTTTCAATGTTGAGAGCAAGGACACTACCAAGTGTTTTGAGACTGGAGTGGGGAGGGGATAGACCTTGGTTATACATTGTAGTTAAGTACTCTCTATCATGGAAACTTACTTTTCTTCTTGGAAAAAATAAAGAAAACCCACTGGGTAATATGTGTCTCTTTGTGACCCAGAAGATTAGAGCACAAGTTAGATCAGGCTGCATGGAATCAAAATATTACCTCTTATATTTTGACATTTTGCTAGTTATCTAATCAGCCTGAGATACCACAGCTATCTGCAAAGTGGGGATAATAACAGCATTTACTCTGTGGGGTTATTGAAAAGATCAAATGAGATGACAGTACAATGTGATTATCTCAATGTCCAGCACATAGTAAGAGTTAACAACAGGTTGGCAATTATTATTTACTGTTATTATAACTCATTATTTCTGAGGCTGACACAAATCTGGAGAAAACATAGAATAAATTTACTTCAAAATCTATTTTTATTCCTGACCAGATCTTTACCAGGCTTCTTCTTCATGTCTAGGAGTCATGAATGCCCCCTTGAAGAAGAGGTATATACGCCTGGGAGCTCAGTAGATATATTTAGACCATGGAGCCAAAACAATTAAAAAAATAAAACAAGTCTCCATGCCTCTGTTTTTACTTTGTCCATCAGTTTATTTTGTTCATTAGATTCCACATATACGTGAGAGCATATGGTATTTGTCTTTCTCTGACTGGTTGATTTCACTTAGCATAATAATATCCAGGTCCATCCATGTTGTCGAAAAACGTGAGTTCCTTCTTTTTTTATGGTTGAATAGTATTTCACTGTGTAAATGTGCCACAGCTTTTTTATCCACTCATCTGCTGATGGACACTTGGGCTATTTCCAGATCTTGGCTTTTGTAAACAATGCTGCTATGGACAGAGGCATAGATACATGAAACAGACTGACAGCTGTCAGAGTGGAGGAGGAAGGGATGGACTAGAAGAAAGAATGTAAAGAGATTAGCCATATATGCATAACCCACAGACACAGCAGTGTGGTGATGGCCAGAGGGAATAGTGGGGCACAGGGTCTGGGTGGAGGAAGGAAAAGGGGAGAAATGGGGACATTTGTAATAGTGTCAGTGATAAAAATTAAGTTAAAAAAGATTAAAAATGTTATTATAAATTTCCTGTGCAGAGTAAAGCTACAAAATGATATGTAAAATTATTTCTCATAAATAAAATTATGTTTCTAAAAGGGAAAACATAAATTACTAGATGTTTTGATATTATTCAGTTGGTAATTTAATAAGGATAGAATCTTTTCCATAACATGGACATTTATTCTCAATGATAATGTATGAACAATTTTACCAGGTAACCTTTAATGATACTATAAGCCCTGTATGATAAGACATTGTTGAACATTTGTTACAATCGATGAACTTACATTGACACATCATTATTACCCAAAGTCTGTATTTAACATTAGACTTATCTGAAAAATCTCAAAATACTTGGAGATTAAACAACACATTCTGAATAACACATGTGCCAAAAAAGAAATCTCAAGATAAATTGGAAAACATCTTGAACTGAGTAAAAAATGCAAACACAACATATAAAAAGCAGTACTTAAATGGATATTTATTGAATTGAATGATTATGATCTCATGTTATAAGATTACTGACAAAAAGATGCAATTGTATTCAATAATTATAGTTACTGATTTGTTTTTACAAAAAAATAACTTCTGGTCTAAAAATTATATTTGCATATTAAAATATAATGGACTATTAAAAAATTTTAAGATAGCTGAAATTCTCTAAATGGGAAATTTTTTTTCTTTAGGTTTGTATAAATCGTCTGTGTGTAGAATCGAGGTTTGTTAAGGCTCATTTCCTTAACTGTTCATCAAAATGCAGTCAACATGGGGTAAGTAAGCACAAGATAGATGTTTCCCAAAATCACATTAATCTTGGACACTTTTCAGCATCACTCATTAATTCAACATTTATTGGGTTCCTACTATATACTATAGTTGGGTTGCAACCTCCTGCAGAGCTTCCTGAGTATAATCTGAAACTGGGCCCCTATGTGGAAGGCAGGGAGAGACTGAAAAAAAAGGCAGAACACTTCAATTGGTAGGTAACAGGTTCAATCAACAAGAGAACTTACAGGCTTGCCTTGGACAGCCACAAGAGAAAGACTTTTTTGCACCAGCCCACCAGAATTTTAGAATATAGAGGCCCTAACTGGGTTCAGTCACATATACAGGGGGCCTAATTTGGGTTCATTCACATACCTAGTTCAAATATTCTTATCACCACATTTCTATCTCAAGATTGTGTCCTTGGGTAGCTTCTAGCACAGGGAAAGCAAACAGCACATATTCCAAACTTAGTGGATGGAATGGGAGCCTCAAATATCCCAGGTTCAGCTTGTGGGTCAGTCCAGGGGTCACATCTTGATGATCTCTCCCAACAGCTAGATCCTGCTGTATCTAGTTTCAGTATAGAGCTGAATTGGGTTACTACCTTTGTAGCCATAGTTAGTTATAGAGACCATTGTATGGAATTAATTTGGCCAGGATTTCTGGTTGTGTAGGTCTTGGAACTATACTCAGCAGTGGACAGGGCTATTACTCAGGTCTCCTGCGTGGTGAGGGAACAGACCAGGCTCCAGAGGTGGCAAGACTCTTTGTTTGAGGTCCCAAAGTAGACAGACTTGCACCCTGTCAAATTCCCTGGTCATACTGCACCACTGTCTTGGCTCTGCATAGGAGAAAAGCCATTGGTTGAGACTACTACTTGGGCACTGCTGGTAGGAACTTGGACTACCAAGATCCAAGCACTGGTTGTTTGTTACAAGCTCCTCTTGCCTTCTCCAGGAAAATCAGAATCCCAGAGAGCAAGCCCCATAGATTTTCCCATGATCCCCCTGAGGCAAAATGAGAGTGGGGACTCCCAAGAAGAGATACAATGCTGGGGGATCTGTATATCCACCCTCTTTTTCCATTGGTGGAACTATAGGCTCAAGGAAGACCTCTCAGTGTGGTCGTGTGCTGGCCTGGGGGAGGAGCAATGTGGTCAGTGTATTGCCACTCCTCTTACCCTTCTAATGCAGTCTGTCTCCATTTAGGTGGTGCATGGGTCTGCTTCAGTCTCATCCTCATGTTGTAGGATTCTCTCATTGGTGTCTTGTCCATGAATAATTAGTTTTTCTTTTTCTGAGAGGAAGCAAATTTGAGAACAACCTGTGTTGTCATCTTGGTGACATTTTCCTCTATATTTTTCTTTGTCTAGTTGAAGATTTGTCAATTTGTTTATCTTTATTAAAATTTTTCTCTTAGTTTTTTTTTCTTTGTTTTTATTGCTTCTTATTTATTTCACTATGATATTTGTAATTGCCTTTCTTTTGCTAACTTTGGGCTTACTTTTGTTTTTCTAGTTCCTTTAGGTGTAAAGTTAGATTGCTTATTTGAAATGACCTATTTTCTTTACCTTTGCATGTATCATTATAAACTACCTCTAAGGACTGCTTTTGTAGCATCCCAGTAGTTTTGCTTTTGGCATGTTTATTTAGATGTGCTTTGGATATTTTTAAAATTTTCCTTTTATTTTCTACTTTGACCCACTGGTTGTTCAGAGTGTATTGTTTAATCTGTATGTGTTTGTGACTTTTTCAGCTTTCCTCTAGTTGATTTGTAATTTCATACTATTTTGGCCAAATAGATACTTGGTATGTTCTTAAGTTTTCTAAGATTTCTTTTGTGGTCTGCGATAGGACCTATCCTTGGTAATGTTTCATATGAATTTGAGAATGTATATTCTGCCAATGTTTGATGAAATGTTCAGTATATATCTGTGATGTACAATTTATTTAAAGTGTGGTTCAATACAACATTTTCTTGTGATTTTCTGTCTCTATTATCAATTCATTGTTGAAAGTGGTGTATTGAAGTGTCCCACTTTTATTTTATTGCTCTCAAGTTCTTTCTTCAGTTCTGTTAGTATTTGCTTAATATATTAGGTGCTCCAGAGTTGGATGAGTATATTATGATTGTTATATCTTTTCAAAGTGTTGACCCTTGTCTGGCCAGTGTGGCTCAGTGGTTGAATGTTGACCCATGCACCAAGAGGTCGCTGTTTCAATTCCCAGTCAGGACACATGCCCAGGTTGTGGGCCTGATCTCCAGTAGGGGGCATGCAGGAGGCAGCCAATCAGTGTTCTGTCATTGAAGTTTCTATCTCTCTCTCCCTGTCACTTTCTCTCTCTCTAAAAAATTAATAAAGGAAAAAAAGTGTTGACCCTTTATCATTATATGATGACCTTCTTTCTGTATTATTATTTTGGTTTAAAGCCTATTTTGTCTTATATAAGGATAGCTACCCTATCTTTCTTCTGGTTTCTACTTTCATGGAATATTTCTTAATGTCTATTTTGAGCCTATGTGTGTTCTTAAAACTGAAGTCAGTCTCTTGAAGGCAGAATTTAGTTGGGTCTTGCTTTTTTGTTCCTTTATTTTACCATCCATTGATATAATTGATATTTAGAGTACTTGTCGATATGTAAGGATTTATTAATGCCATATCTTTAATTGCTTTCCATCTGTTTTTCAGTTCCCTTGTTCTTTTCCCCCTTTCCTTTTGCTTACCTTTGTGAATTGGTGATTTTATGTGGTGGTAGGTATACTTTGATCCTCCTTTCTTTATCTCTTGTGAATCTACTATAGCTTTTTGCTTTGTGATTACCATGAGTTTATGTAAAACATCTTATAGATGAAACAGCCCATATTAAACTAATTGCAACTTATCTTCATTCCTATATAAAAGTTCTAGCCATTTACAACATTTTTTTGGTTTGTTTTTTGATGTCACAATTTTCTCTTTTTACATTGTGGATTTATTAGCAAATTATAGTATCTATAATTTGTTTCTAATAATCTTTTCCTTTCACCTGTATACTAATGTTAAGTGGTCAATTCACAATCACATAACAGATTTAGAGTTTTCTAAATCTATGTATTTAGTTTTAGCAGTATGTTGTATATGTTTGTTATCTTTCATGTTACTGATTATTCTCTTTTCATTTCAGATGGAAGAACCCCTTTCAGCATTCCTTATCAGGCAGGTCTAGTGGGGATGAATTCCCTTAGTTTTTGTTTGTCTGGGAAAGTTTCTATTTCTCCTTCATTTCAGAAGGATAAGTTTGCTGGGTAGAGCATTCCTAAATGACTTTTTTTCCTTCAGCACTTTGAATATATTATTCTATTCTCTCCTGGCCTTTGGGGATGTTGCTTTGTTGATTAAAATTGTTTTTTCTTTGGGTATTTCTAAGAATTTATTCTTTGTCTTTAATTTGTATGCATGTCATGAGGTAATATATTGTTTTTATGAGTTTTGATGTCCAAGTCTCTGCTTAGGTTTAGGAAGTTCTCAGCCATTATTTTTTTTAAATAGACTTTCTGCCCCTTTTCTTCTCTGTTGTCCTTTTGGTGCTCCAATTATTCTAATATATATATGTTTGATGGTTTTTCATAGATCATATATGCTTTCTTTGCTTTTATTCTTTTTTCTTGTCTACCCTTGGTTTCCATCATCTAGATCATCACTTCAGTCTTCTGTTTGGTCTATTCTGATATAGATGTTCTCTATTACATTTTTCCCCCAATCATTAATTAAATTATTTACCTCTAAAATTTCCTTATAGTCCCTATTTATGATTTTTATTCCTTTGTTAAATTTTTCATTTTGTCTGTGAGATTTCCCTATTTTCATGAATACTCTTTTTGTGTTTTTTTGTAGCTCATCGAGTTCCTCAAAATAGCTATTGTGAACTTTTTATCAGCTAAATAGCTGAATTCTGCATCTTTGAATTTGGTTGCTGGGGTATTATTGTTATCTTTTGGTGATAACTTGTATCCTTGATTTTTCATTTTCTTGGAATTTTGCATTACTGTTTTCACATTTGAAGTAGTAGTCACCTCCTTAAATCTTTACTAATTGTCTTCAACTGGGAAATACTTTTTATTGATCTTGCTAAAGGTTAGGTCTTTCTCCAAACTTGTGTGGGTACACATACAATTGCTCCACAATTCTTGCTCCCTCTTGTGGCATAATTCTTATACTTGTGTATCTTCTCTGGTTCTTACAATTGACAAAGCTGCCTGCTGGAAATCTCTCTTTTGTTTTCCAGAAGATAGCTATAGCTCAAGTTTGTGCTTTCTTCCTTGCCCAAGTACCCTGGCTTGATTTTATGAGGGAAAACCCTGTCTACTGAGCATGTTCTTGCTGCTCAACTCAGGTGTACACAGAAGAAGTAGGCCACAAAGTGGAAACAGTTATAGATTTAGCACTTGAGGTATTTGGGGTGCTTATAGGTCAAGTGGAGAAGATCCCTGTTTAGTTTTTGTAGCAGTTCATGGAAAGCTTTCCTGCTGGAATATTGAAAACATTCAGCAGGAACTGTATCCCTTTAATATTATCATCTGACTCTTTTCTGACCTTACTTCCCCTAGTCATGGAGGTCCTGCCTCATTATTCTGGATATTTCAGGAGAAAAACAGGTTTCTCCAGCTGTGTGATGCTAGTCATTGAGGACTCACTCACTCACTCCTCTCCCTTCCTCTACAGGAGAGGTCACCACTGGCTAGTTCAGCCCTGTGCTTAGGGGAGAGATGGCACTGGAAAAATTACTCTTACCCTCTCCAGTGTGTTCCAAAAGTTATATTACTCCAAAAGAATGCAGGAATCTATTCTTCAAAAGGTTGAATTTCTGCAAGGCTTTTGTGTCCATGGTTTTCTGATGCCTAAATCAGAACTGTCCAGATTTACCCCAAATGCAGTCAAGAGGGGCTGAGGTCTGTTCACTGACTAGTGCTGGTTCCACAGCCTATAACGAGGTCTGTCTACCTATTACCATCTGATGCACAGGTCCCTTAGTGTATGGTGCTCAATTACACAATTCTCACAAAAGTACTTTTGTTCATGGATAGATAGATGCCAAATATAGTTGTTAAAAAAGGGGGACAAAAAGGAGAGATGTCTTTTGTCACCATGATGCTGTTGTTACTTCCAAAACCAGTTTTATTTCTTTCTTCATAATTTATATAGCTTTTATCTTCTTGTTTTCCAGCATTATGTTTAAAGGAATGGTGAGAGGGGACTTCCTTGCCTTGTTCCTGATCTTAGTGGGAAAACTTCTAATCTCTTTCTTTAGGTTTAATTCATCTGTGGAGTTATTTTTAATTCTTTATCTTGGTTAGGGTTTTCGCTTCTGTATTCATCAGATATATTGGTATGTTTACTTTTTTCTTTTTCTTTTTTTTTTTTAATCCTCACCCGAGGACATTTTTCCATTTTTTGTTCAGGTAGAGTGGGAGGGAGAGAGAGGAAGGGAGAGAGAGAGAGAAACATCGACGTGAAAGGAACATGGCCGCCACCCACACGACCAACCAGGGCCGGGGACAAACTGCAACCGCGGTATGCGCCCTTAGCGGGAACCGAACCCGGGTCTCTCAGGACCGCAGGCCGACGCTCTAACCGCTGAGCCAAACCAGCCAGGGCGTGTTTTCTTTTTTCATGTTACCCTTACCAGGTACCAAGATTATGTTCCTCATAAAATGTGTTAGAGAGTATTGCCTTTTCTTCAATTTTTAAAAATATTTTCTTTTCTTAATTGATTTTCTAGAGAGAGGGAGAGAGAGATAGAAACATCGATCAGAGAGAACTTTGATTGGCCGCCTCCTGCATGTTCTTCACTGGGGATCGGGCCCACAGCCTGGGCATGTGCCCTGACTGGGAATCAAACTGGCAACCTCTTGTTGCATGGGTTGATGCTCAACCAGTGAGCCACACCAGCCAGGCATGTTTTCTTCAATTTTTCGGAAGAGTTTGAGAATGATAGGTATCAAATCTTTGTGTTTTTTTTAATCCTCACCCGAGGACATTTTTGCATTTATTTTCAGATAGAGTGGGAGGGAGAGAGGGATGAAGAGAGAGAGAGAAACATCAATGTGAGAGAAACACATTGAGTGGTTGCCACCCACACAACCTCAACCAGAGCCGGGGACAAACTGCAATCGAGGTACATACCTTTAGCAGGAACTGAACCCAGGTCTCTTTGGTCCACGGGCCAATGCTTTAACCGCTGAGCCAAACCAGCCAGGGCTAGATATCAAATCTTTGAATGTTTGGCAGAATTCACTAGTGAAGCTATTTGGTCCTGGACTTTTACTTTTTACTTTTTTAGTTTTTGATGGTTGTTTCAATCTTCTTAGTGTTGATTGATCTCTTTAGATTTTCCAGTTTTTCATGGTTCAATCTAAGAAAGTTATATATTTCTAGGAACTTACACATTTTTTTCTAGTTCATTGATTTGGTGGCATATAGTCTTTTATAATATTCTAATGTGATCCTTTATATTTCTGTAATGTCTCTTTCATTTCTTCTTTTGTTTGTATGGATCCTTTTTATTTTTTTTTCCTTAGGGAGTCTATCCAGATTTTTGTCAATATTAATCTTTTTAAAAAACCAGCTCTTGCAGAGAGCCAGGACAGAGTGTTAAGATAGCCACAGTCACTTACCTTGGGCTCTGGTAGAGGGAGGGTAGACTGGACTGGAACTGTGTGGAGACACTTGGGATTTGGAGGGTGCTCAGAGCTTTTGCTGAGTTGTGGCTATGGAGGACTGTGGCCATCTTACTCCTTCCCAGGGCTCTGGAGAGAGGCGGCGGCTCCTCCCACAAAGACTCAACCCCACCCATGTGGGCCATTGAAATGCAAATTGAAGCTCATAAACAACCAGCAACTGCCTCACCCTTAGGAAATCCTCTTATGCTGAACACATGAGGGAGGTTTTCATTCAACTGAGAACCCAAGGCTCTTCAAGTGACCACAACCAATAGCCTCCAGGCAAAAAGCCAGAGGAAAACTGAAATTTTCCTGGGCTTGCAACTCTACCCAGAAAAGTAAGACTTGACAGTGCTGTTTAACATGGGCCCTTTCAATCAGCAGAACACCAACACCCTCAAGGAAAATTTGACGGGCTCCAAAACCCACTGAGATAGCCAAAATGGTGAAACAAAGAAACAAATCCCAAATGAAAGAACAAGAGACCTCCACCAAAAATGACATAAATGAAATACAGTTAAGCAAGTGAATAGAGCTAGAATTCAGAGCCATAATATTGAGGAAGCTCAACAACATGAGTAAGGACATCAAGACCATGAATAAAGACATAGAAACTGAATATCAACCAATTGGAAATGAAAAACCACCAAGAAGAAATAAAGAATGACATAGCAAAAATAAAGAACACATTGGAAGGACTAAACGGCAGAGTAGAGGAAGCTGAGTACTGGATTAGTGAATTAGAAGACAGGGTAGAAAAAATCAACCAATCAGAAAACCAAAAGGAAAAACCAAAAAAACAGGAAGACAGCTTAAGAGAACTGTGGGACAACTGGAAACGTAATAATATTCGCATCATAGGAGTCCCTGAAGAAGAAGAAAATGAGCAAGGGTTAGAAAATATATTCAAAGATATAGTGACAGAAAACTTCCCTAATTTGGTGAAGGAAGAAGGCATTCAAGTTCAAGAAGCACAGAGAGCCCCAAGTAAGAAGAACCCAAACAGGCCCACATCAAGACACATAACAATTAAAATGCCAGAAATTAAAGAGAGAATCCTAAAGGCAGCAAGAGATAAGCAACAGGTTACCTACAAAGGAAACCCCTTAAGGCTCTCAGCTGACTTCTCAACAGAAACACTACAGGCCAGAAGGGAATGGCATGAAGTAATTAAGGTCATGAAAAACAAGGATCTGAACCCAAGACTACTCTACCCAGCAAGGCTATCATTCAAAATAGAAGGTGAAATAAAGAGCTTCCCAGACAAAAAAAGGCTAAGGGTATACATTAGCACCAAACCAGCACTTCAAGAAATGTTAAAAGGACTGCTCTAATTAGTAGAAGAAATAGGAAGAAAAATATAACTACATTAAACAAAATGGCAATAAATAAGTACATATCAATAATCACCTTAAATGTAAATGGATTGAATGCTTTGATAAAAAGACACAGAGTAGCTGACTGGATAAGAAAGCATGGCTCATATATATGTTGTTTACAAGAGACTCACCTCACAACAAAAGACTCACATAGGTTGAAAGTGAAAAGATGAAAAAAAAAATCTTCTAAGCAAACGGAAAGAAAAAAAAGCTGGAGTAGCAATACTCATATCTGATAAAATAGATTTCAAAATGAAGGCCATAACTAGAGACAAAGAAGGCCACTACATTATATGAAAGGATCTATCCAACAGGAAGATATTATCTTGGTAAACATATATGCACACAATATAGGAGCACCAAAATATATTAAAAATCTTCTGGAGGACTTCAAAGGAGAAACTGACAGCAATAGAATCATAGCAGGGGACTTCAACATCTCACTGACATCACTGGATAGATCCTCTAGACAAAAAATTTGCAAGAAAACAGAGACTCTAAATGAAACACTAGACCAAATGAATTTATTAGATATCTACAGAGAATTACACCTCAAAACTACAGAATTCACATTCTCCTCTAATGAACATGGGACATTCTCAAAGATAGACCACATGTTAAGACACAAACTAAGTCTCTACAAGTTCAAGAAGATTGAAATCATATCAAGCATCTTCTCAGATCACAATAGCATGAAACTAGAAATCAATTGTAACAAGAACATGGAAAGACATTTGAACACATGGAGGCTAAATAGCATGTTATTAAACAACACATGGGTTAATGAGGAGATCAAGGAAGAAATTGAAAACTTTTTGGAAACCAATGAAAATGAACACACAACAAC